CGCGGCCCCGCTCCCCCGGTGCCGGGGCGTCTGCGGGGGGCGGCTGGCGCGGCGCGGTGCGCTGCCGGGCTGTGGTTTCGGTCTCCGGAAGCAAACCGCAAAAGGACCCGCAGCAAAACTGAATTTTGCAGCCGAAAGTGTTGCAGGCGCTGTCTTACCCGTGAACGCCTCGTAGCGTAGCGAAATGGACTCGACTCAGACAGGGCTGCAGCGGACTTTTACTTCTGAAAAAGCAGCGCAAACTCTCTGGAGGAGTCCCCACTGCTACGGCAATGAGAGAGGGGCCTGAGGGGAGGAGGGGGATTGGCGCTTTTTTTTTTTTCCCTTTTTTTTTTTTTTTTTTTTTTTTTTCTTTTTTTAAGTTAAGAGTTTGAATGTGCCAGAAATCTGACCTGATTGCACATTTTTTCTATTGATTTTTTTTGATCTTTTTTTTAGTGTGCCATTTGCTGGATTATGTTAAAGTTAGTGATCAGTGTGGGCATGAGGGACTGCCCCCCCTTCCACCCTTACCCCCTTCGACCCTACCAGGCCAGGTCTACGCATTTCGGAAAGTGCAGCCATGATAGATAGAGCAACTTCTCCCATTTTCACCCAGCCCCGCGGTATGACAGTTCATGGTAGGTGTGCCTTCCGACGGGGAGCCACCCCCTTGCTGAATCATCGTGGAGCGATGGCCGGACAGCTTGTTCGCTCGGGGAACAAAATATTCCCCTGTAGAGCATGAGGCGGTGGCGAGGCGAGACACAAGTAAGAGACCTGTTAGCATTCGGCTCAGGCGCGGGCGAACGGTTGCAGGGAGAAAACCTTTCCCTTTCATGGCAGCGGGAGCTGCGGATGCGGTTTTGAGCTCAAAGGCAAGACGTGCGCTGCTGTAAGGAACGTCCCCTGCCTTTGAGGTAGTGAAACTCCGAGGGCCTGATCCTGCGGCTTTTGCTTCTCTGAAAACTCCTTTCTTGCACGGATAGGCTCCGTGCGAGATCAACACCTGGCTCAGGGAGCGACGTGCGAATTCGTGGTATTGTGCAGCGGTGGTCATTAGCAGTAATCTTGTAATGTGTTTGCGCAGACAAGCGTGTGAGCAGCAATGTCGTGTCTGTGCTATTTGCCTAAAACTAGTTTATTCTGCGTCGGTGAAAGTCGTTGCCTTCATTACCGCAAGGAAATAATGACTTTGCCTTTGGGGGGGCTTGGGGTGCGCATGTGTCAGATGCTGAAGTGTTGCTAGCTATCCCTGCCTTTATTCCAAGGATGCCACAAAGTATAGGAGTGAGAGGTGGGATGAGCAATTTTGAGCTGGGGTGTATCAGGCAAGACTAAATTGCAGCAGTTGTTGGACATGTAATGTCATCCTGTAATTAGAGCGAGGTAATAGTCTATACCATGTTGAAGCTATCGAGTGTCTGAGTTGGAGCAGTCTGAATTAAGTTAGTTCTTCTGGGATTATGCAGAAGCAGAAGTAATGCAGTTAAGAGTTTCCATACAGCAGCTTCCATGGGGTTGCAGAGATGTTTTCCCCCTATGGGTCCTCCTTGCGGGTATTTTGCTTTTAAGGTAGTACGTGGAGGCTGCAATGGTGCTGTGCTCCAGGTTGGAGAAATGCCTTACGTGGCACTGTCCTGTTCCTTGGAGCTTTATTTACAAATGAAGGTCCAAATCGTGCGTCTCAGCCCTGGGTGGGGGTGGGGGGCTCCTGAGGGAAGGACTTAGGGGTTCAGCTTTGTGCAGAATTGAAGGATTTAAAGGACTCTGTAATTTGGTCTTAAAACTTCCCTGCCCCCACTGTTCTCTATACCCCAAAAAAGATGTGTGTTAGCAAGTGGTCTGGTGGAGAGCTCGCAGGCTGTTGTCTTTCCAGCACTCCTGCCAGTGGGGCAGGACCCCCGCGGGACTCTGGAGCTGCTCTGGTTTGCTGTAGGGTTGTGCTGGTGCAGAGCCATGGGGGTACAGTCGTGCACAGGCAGACCTGGGAGGCTGTGCAGTTACGATGTGTGGGCACCAGCCCTTCTCACGGATGCTAATTTCCCTTGGTGTGTGCGTGTGTATATATATAGACATGTTACATATTTAAATGAAGTCATTTTAAAGTAGTGATGGCCCAGAAAAGTTTGAGAGCTATTTCAGTGTTTGAGTGTTTCTCTCTGAAAGACAATGGACTGTGCAGAAGCTTCTAGGTATTATGGGATGCACTTAAAGCAGGAGAAGGTGCAGGCTGCTCTTGGGCACAGTCAGCCTTCCCAGAAGCGGCTGAGTTTTACATAGCACCTCGTTCAACCTGTATACAGCTGTATGTCTGTAGCGGGTCTGGTGGTATCTTCCAGGCGGTTTGGCATATACTGGCAGGGGCCCAACGCAGACCTAGCAGTCAGTGAGGAAATTAGCCTCTCGATGCTGTAACCTCTGTGCTGCTCAGCCTCCTGCAGCATTCGGCCAGGTCAGGAGAAGTCGGGGTGCCACAATCTTCCTGCTGCTGTGTGGGAGGGAGGGATCCCCATGGAGAAAGAGGGAGCAGATCTGGGGCTGCCATTCCTCCCTCCCAGTGCTGGCCCACGTGCTGCAGGAAGGTGACTGGCAAGTAGGGATGCTGGGCAGTTGTCCTTCTCAGGTATTGCGGTGTCACATCCACATAGAGGATTTGGTAGTGGTTTTCGTGCCCAGTTCCACTTCATGAGCAGCGGTAGGCTGCTCTGCCACCTCCTTCTCTCTTGGGGAATGGCTGGCATGAGGCTTAAATATTATTCTTAGATTTTTATTTATTTTTTTTTTACAGACCTAGAAGTTTTCTACTGGGCTTGCCTCATTTTAGCAAGATGAATACATGGAACTTAAGAGTTTTGCACTTGTGCTGCCACCAGAAGTGAGGGTTTGGAGGCTGTTTTGTGTGTTTAAGGGAATCTCAAAGTGGGACTTAAAAACTTATGACTGCAAAGTGGGGAGAGGTTGGGTTTCTTAACCTTTTGCAGTACAGCTTGCAAATCAGTTTTGAAACTAGTGCTGTGGTGGAAAAAGTGGTCCTGCTTCCAGTCCTTTGCTCTGGTCTCTTCACCATCCTTGTGGATTAAGATTAATCTTGCAGAATAACAAGGAAGAAAGCGATGCTCATTTTAGCCATCGCTGCTTCCTTGGTTCGTTTCCCTGTGTGGCCACAAACAGTTGTGTTGGCACAAGGACATGGGGGGCACAAGCAGGACAGTATGACGCTGGACTGCTGCTTTTGTTAGCAGCGCTGGCTTATGTGGAGTTAAACTGATGGCAAAACTGCATTGCTAGTGTCTTGTACATGTATCTTTCTTCATGCACAAGTCAAACCATGGCTTTCCTAGTCACCGGTGCCTGAAGCTTAGTCAGGAGCCTGAAAGCAAATGAAGATTTTCTTTGTGGGTAATGTAGGCACAGGTGATGATGATGAATCTGCAGTCCGGGTTTTGTGACTGATGCCTGCAGCAGGACATCCCTGCCATGCCAGTGGTGAGCTTGGCTTTGGCAG